TCACTGTAGTTAGGAATAAGGTGGGATTCCTGTTAATTAGTGGAGAAGTGAATACGATTTAACATTATATGATCTGCTCCCTGCCCCTGGATTGTTAGCGCGGATTTGGGGTGGATCAGCTTTTGTACTTGACAAATGAGAAGTGAATGGCTTGGTGCGGATGCACAGTGCCGTTTTGTGGACTGGCGACCGTCTCGATTCATGGGAAAACTTAAAGGACACCGCGTTATCACAGGACCTCATTATCTCATGTCTGCAACCATCTTTTGAGAACAATCCTAAATGAAGAATGGCACAGACCTACTTTGCAGAACTGTGCTAAAATAGCTCCTCTCTCTCATTCCAAACACATGCATACACTTTGCGTGGAGTGGAGTTCCACATGACAATGTGGCACTGTGATCCTGGAACACTGAGATCACCTTTGGGCAGCAAAACTTAACTGTGCGTGCCAGTATCCAAACACAGATGCGCAGACACCTCTGCCAGTAAATATGCAGGTAGTGGGCTCCTTAACTATTCAGTCTAATGCCATATTTTATTTAACAGCGGTGTTGCCATATCATATTCTCAAGTCAGTTTCAAAAATCACAAATGCCTTTAGAAATCCGGCTCTATTCTAGTTTTTTTTTAAGTTCTTTGGAACGAACTCTTGGTAAATTGGTGGTAAAATGTCTTGTCTTATGAATTAATTATTCATTATTAAACACGTCATTTAATATAATTTTCTCTTTAAGGTTATGTTGTTTTTCCCCCCTGTACAACTCCGTGCATGAGGACGACAACTACCACAGAATGGTGGTTCATTTACTTGGCCATAAACCATTTATTTACCTTCAGGTGACTGTGGCAGAGCGTGCAGAGTAAAGATCGCAGGAGAGATTTACACCTGCCTCTCTGCTCAAATACAGCAGCCTATAGCCTACAGAGATGGTCACTGGAGCCAGCTTGTCTGGAGCTGTGCTGGACCGCCCACCCCCTCCTCCACCGTGGATTAAACAACATCATAAAAATGACCGTCAACGCGCACACTGTAAACAGATTATTCTCCTCTGCGCTATAGACAGGACGCACGTAGCAGCAGCGCGGGTGGCTCTGCTTGGTCATCCTCCTTCAGCCGTTTACTCACTGTTCTCCGGACACTTCCCGCTCATGTAAATACTGACGAACGTTTGATGTCATCGCTGTTGGTGTGAGAGACTCTTGAGAGGCTGCTCAGGGACATTTCTAACAAGATGTCAAGTCAGTTGTTTCTCCACAAATCCCTGTGAGAACCTTTGAACATGCAACAGAACGTCTTGTATAAGCAGGTGCCAGCTGTATTGCTATTCAAAGATGTAATTTAGGCTCGATTAGAACAATATCATACATGTCCTGTCCAAGCACAAATTTGTAAATGATGACTGTAATATCGTTTGCATAGCCTACATCATAAATAAGATACACACCAACTTCATTTTGACCCCAGTTTTACCTGTTGGCGTGTTCCTTCTCATAACTAATGACAGTTGGCCTCTTATAGGATTGACCACTCTCCTATAATAGGTTTTTATGGTTGTTACATGTTGAAGTAGCCATAAAATAATCTCTCTCATTTTCCCTAAGGTACATGTGCCTCTCAACCTGGTGAATTCAACTCATTACATCTCTATGTAGTCTTGTCTCCCACCCTCTTCTTCAGCACTTTTAGGCTCCATCATATGCCACATATGTGTCTGTACCTTTCCCATAATATCATCACTTGTGTCTCATCACCTAATGTTACTGAAAGCTAGGTTTCAACAGGTTACACTTTAGTTAGAACGGTATAGATTATATCCTACAAAAGGTCAAATTTCAAGATTTCAGGTTCATTAATAATATATTTATTAAAATAATGCATATTTCTGTTTCTAAATGGTGTAAAATATGCTGAAACTACAGAAGCAGTGTAATGCAACACTCCGAGCTTTGAAGTGTGAAAATAGACAATATGGCTAAATATTCAACAGGACAGCATCAAGAGTTTGACCACACAATTTAAAATGTACATTTCGGCACGTTTTAAGGAGACCGGCTGTTTCTCACAATTTCACACAAGGCTGCAACAGAAACTTCCCAAAAGTCTCTTTCAATTGAAAGGACCAACACACACAACTATCAGCCTCTACTTTTCTCTCCCAGGCACATGCATGTTTTTCTATTTCTCTCCCTCTGTTTCTCTAGCAAACAAACACACATTGATACAAATATACATTTGCTGACACATTACTTCAGTGGTCACTTGTTGGCCTCAGAACAGTGTCCAGTGTTCAGCCAGTGAATTTCATGCCCTATTGAGGAGAATAATCTCCCTCGATATTGGACTGCAGTGTGAAGGTTCTGCCTGATTTCTGCAGATTAAACTTTTAACATGCAGGTTCTGCATTGCAGTTACTCAGCCCCTCAGTGAATCCGTTTGATTTTCCGCAGAGTTTTCTAGTTTGCCCGGTTGCCTTGTGTTGCTAATCTGTTTAACACTGCACTCTTTTCTGTGGTCTCAAGAGTTTTTTGAGTGATGATGCTCACTTACTGGTAGCAATATTTGCCTAATGCTTTATTCTTAAAATATGGAGCAAGGCACAAAATAGGTCATGGGTCCCTTTTAGTTGCTCTTCATGTGAGAGTGTTTAGATGGGCCTGGGTCACAGGGCCACAGTGATTTCATTCAAATTAGGTTTGATGCTTACAAAAGCCTCCATATGGCATTGCAACTAACATTTTATCTCATAAAATACTTTATTTCAAACAATGCTGTCTGAGCATCCAGGTTTAGGAGGTGCCCCTCACTATGCAAGACAATGTGTGGCCATCATTTTATTTAAATCCTAAGCAAATTTTCAGTTGAAACACACTAAATAAACATGATTGATTATTTGCTGAGTGAGCAGACATAGATCACAATTATTAGTCCCTTCTGCTAATGGAGGAGCTTTTAGCTTAAACACTGATATGTAGGTGCCTTTCACCGTAAATTATCCTGGGAGAGCCCATCTTGGACACCGTTGTGAAATTTTAAATAAGGGTTAAATAGTTTCATTAACGTAGCCACATCCTGTTGTCTACTGAACATTTAATGCATAAATTCAAGGAGTATGTCCCTCTTTATTTTATTTTTTTTTATGTCTGTCACAGACTCATTCAACTCAGCCTCTGACATGTGTATGTTATTTTGAGAATCGGGGGGGGTTGGTGGTGAATGTGCAACTTGGAAATTATAAAAGGAAGCCTTCCATCTAGTGCAGCCATAAGGGAATACAGAGAGCGAGGCAGCAGGAGCAAATCGAGAGCGGTGATTTCCAAAATAGCTCAGGCCATTGAATGACAATAGCCAGGCCCCCTCTGTCTGTCTCTTTTTCTTTCACTGCTGCAGACTACAAAAACTAACATAATAAGGCAGGAAGAGAAAATTGCCAAATGTGATTTATTCTGATTTGAACAAATAATTTGTAATTTAAATCCGGCAGCAGAGATATCGGTAGTAACTGAATTTCTCATTGTCTAATTTTGTGTTTTGCGTTTTATGATTGCAACAAAACATTTGCAGGAGGTCCCATCAGCATGTTTAACAACCACTGCCTGTAAATCCTTGACATTTCTGTTGGTGGGAACATGGTATATACTGAAGTTTATCATATTTATTCCAGAATAATAACTGATCAATACAACACTTACATTGTAAGGGGGCACTAATAGGTTAAATCAGTCTTTGTTATTAAAATCTATGCTTTGAGTTTTATTATTTTCACAACGGTCACATACTAAACTGATGCACAACTATTGACAGCTGTGTTTTTCTCATATGACTATTTCTAGAATCGCTTTTTGGAATTATTATATTCAGGTTTTTGTTCAAAAATGTTTTGTCCCCCTAAATTTGCTAGTGGTGTGCAGTGCTTAACAATGTTTTCATCATTTTTCCAATATGCTGTATGGCAAACAGTGAGCAGCCCTACATTTTCTCTCATCCATCATGGAAGGGAAGATTTTTTTCAATAAATAATTCACCACTGATAGCCAGCCCTAATGCCTACATGAACAAATCTCTCAGTTACAGCCATCTTGGGAGTAAGCCAGTCCATGAGCATACTTGATAAACAAATACAGGGCCTGACAAGCTCTGGTTTCACTGATGTCTTTCCGAGAGGAAAGTATTTGAAGGCAGTCGGTGAAACAACATCCTTTCTCTGGGTGAAGGTTTAGGGGTCAGGTGTGGGTTATTGCTGCAAGAGTGTCATCTTGTTGCATTGTTACTGCGGATACTCTGGATAGATTTACTGTCCTTTTTACACAAGGCAAAATTTAGATGTTTCTTTAGATTTATCTGACATTTATGTTCCAAAATTTTATGTTCTTGTGACATTTAGTTGGAATTAAATGAAAAAGAACACAAAATATATGAAAGAACAAATGATTTTACTTGTAAACAAAGGTAATCTCTCTTTTGTTTGTTTAAATCGACTTTACATCCGTTCTTGGACCAGTTGAATCAGTATCACAACCTTACGTCGACCATATGGTAGCTGTGGCTATAAACGTAATGCTGACATGATTCTCCTAACTCAGCGTTTGGGGGAGGTGGCTGTGTGTGTGTGTGTGTGTGTGTGTGTGTGTGTGCTTGCCTGTGCAATATCTTCTCACAGAAATGCTCTTGCCATACAGTGAACTTAGACTTTGCTTTCTTTTCGTCCCAGTTGGGTCAACATGGTCTGCTGGATTTGTATTTTAGAATTAAATTGAATACATGATCTTTGTTTTTGCACAAATTAGTACAACTTTTGTAAGATCAGGCTGTGTTTGTGTGTATGTTTTTGTAAGCATGCACAATCAGATGTATGCTTGTGACTGGACAAGGTTGTTGGCCTGTTATTTAGCCCATCTGTGTATCTGTTGCAAGACTCCCTACATGAAATATTCAAGGTCCAGTGGAAATTGATCTGCTGATCTGAAGTCTGTTTTTCCCTTCCTCTCTCTCTGGCCAGATCCCCATGGAGCTGCCTCGATGAAGGATCCTAATATCACATATCAGTTAGATGACCAAGTGCAGGGCCTGCACAACTGCTGCAGCTCAGCTCTGGAGCCCGGATCAATGGAATACTGTTGGAGATACAACGGACCACACCCACATACTGATTAGACCTTCTGATTGGATATCACATGGATGTCTTGACCACTACCATGGCTTTCATGCAAATTGATGAAGGTAATTTTAGCCCCTTAAGAGAAATTTGAATTGCCTTAAGAGGTCGTGATACTTTTTATTAATGTGAAATGGTTTTGATTAATAGTCAAGAATTCTGTGGAGAAATATCAAGTGCAACAGTTTATAAGGCATCTCTTCCACCAAATTAGTGGTACTTCTGTTTGTTATCTAGGTTTATTGTCCAGTATTTTCAGAAAGGGATAGCTGATTCCATCAATATACACATTCACAAATATAAAACTGTTCTTCACATGAAATTACAGCTTAGCTGAGTAGAAATCTTAGTAATCACTTACACAGTTCAATTTCCACCAACCTTCCTAATCACAAGGCCATAGGTAATTAAATCCATGCTTTAGAACAGGGAGAAACTTAATGTAGAGATGTCACACAATGTTTACCCTCAAAGTAACATACAGTCAGAAACTCAAACAAGCACACACATGCTGTCGCACAAAGAAACTAAAATGTTTTCAGTAAACAAGCCCTGTATCCACCCACCCAGGCTGTAGCTGTTATGTGTTCCCCTAAATGTCTGCGACACACCACCTCACCTCCTCAGACAGGCGCGGCCCTGCACCCTGGCTAAATAAAAAAACAATCAGAGGAAACAGGGAACAATCTTAGGCAGGTTCCAGCGGGCTCCCATAAAACGAGGGGCTCCCTCTCCAGCCTCTCCCTCTTGCCTTCAGCTTTAACTATATGGGCTGATGATAGATCAACAGGTCAAGTGGACAGCCACTGCTGCGCCTGCAGTCCACCACTGCACCAGCAAGCAAGCCAATCACAAAACACCAGGGGAAAAAAGCTACAGTCTTTAGGAATTCAAACTGAATGGTTAGTGTGATAGTTCTGAGTACGTGCACGATTTCCTGCTATCTCATATACGTTGAGTCTAGCCCTTTGCAGCCTGCTTTACATTTGTGAAATGTTGAATATTGCCCAAGAATCATATTCCAGACTCATTGTAACCCTGATCTCTCCTTGCATCCCCATGGACCCTACTTCACCCCTTTATCGCTACACTCCCTGTTTCCAGGAGCTTCACTCCAGATCGGTACCAGTTAACCAGCCCTGTAGATCTCTGGCAGGAGTAATGAGGGTTGGCACTATAAGGCTTGGTGCAAACATGCAGCAGCAGACAGACAAATCAGGTTAGGTCTTTGCTGCCTGGCTGGCAGCACACTCAAAGGAAAGCCGGTGCCCTGCCAGAGAGGAGGGTGCACCCATTTTCCCAGGGAGGGGGTGAGGGTGAACATGAAGGAGGGTAGCGTAGAGGGGAGGCCTGGTCCTTATCGAGCAGACACCTCCGCCCCTCCTGGCA